GACGGATTCCGGTGTAGCACCCGCACCGTCTATTGGCTCACAGAGCCCGGAGCATGGACCCGCTACTCAAGCTGACACTCCATCTACAGCTGCAGCCGCTCATTCTGATGACAGCCAGGTCCCACCTGGCGTGGAATGTAGCGCCCTTTCTATGCACGCGGACATTAGCGCTTACTTAGAAGATCTATCTCCATCGTGCACACCGAAGATCCAAGACCTTATATCAAAATTGTTTTATAGTTCCAGGTTTGAGGAGTTTGATCCATTGATCTCCTCGGCAATTGGCAACCTCAGCCTGGCCGATCCGCCCTCCGCTAATAACCGCACCGCTCGCGGACGAAAGGAGGGTCGTAGAAGAAAGAGTTACAAGGAATTAAAGAAAAGGAATAAGCCAAACCACAACACCAGGAGAGCGGAAAATTTTAATAAGTTTCAACGCCTGTTCGCCAAAAACCCGACGCAACTAGCGCATGCGATCTTGGACGACTAGGATATCGATGTCCCTGTCTGTCCTAGTATGACCGAAATTGAAGCATACTTTCGCCCGCAGTTCGAGGAGTGCCCGGAATACGAGGACGCCACTCCGCAGCCTCCAAGCGAAGTACTCCAGTTGGACTACCCAATCACCATCGCAGAGGCGGAGCTTGGCTTGCGGCGACTCAAGCAGTCGGCTAGTGGCCCTGATGGGATAACGCACCACCATCTGCGCAGGGCGAACTTGGCTGACGTGGTGGCACTTATGAACATCGTTTTCGGCCTATGCCGTACGCTATCAATACTACGTCACAACCGCACTGTGCTCATTCCTAAAAAGGGCGGCCTTTCCTCACCATCGAACTGACGCCCCATCCCGATTTCTTCCTGTTTCTCCAGGCTGCTTCACAAAATTTTTGCTTCCCGACTCACAACAAATGTTAAACTACACCACGCGCAGAGAGGTTTCACTCCGACAGACGAACTAATGACTAGCTGTACCGTCTTGGATATAGTGATCCGTGAACACTGAATGGAGGGACGCCCTCTGTACATGATGTCCATAGATTTGACCAAAGCCTTTGACAGAATCCACCCACGCGGAATAGAACTCGCTCTCCGCAAGAAGGGGGTCGATCGGCACACAATTAATTACATCATGTCGACATACGAAAACGTCGATACGTCCATCGAGTGCCACGGACAAAAGAGTTCTCCTATCGGAGTGCGTCGAGGTGTACAACAAGGCAATACGGACAGCCCAATCCTTTTCAACATAGCAGTTGACGAGTTGGTGACCTCCATCGACCCCGCAGACGGTGTCAAACTGGGGAAAGCTAAGATTGGGTGCCTGCTCTTCGCTGACGATATCATATTCGCGAGCAATACCGTTCACGGAATGCGCGACTGATTAGGAAGTTTGTCAAGGCCACCCTCCACCATCCAATCTCTACACCAACCGCTTTCATGCACGCTAAGATACGAGATGGAGGCCTCTCTGTGCCGTATTTAAGACATTAGATAGGAGTTATATATCGCCGTCTGCTGCAGCGCGTGAGTCTACAAAGCGACCCGGACTATCATACGGCTTTCTAAACTCCATCTTTTAAGCGACTTATGCGCAGGCTGGACACTACACGGAAATATTTCCGTTTATCGTTGGTGCCAGGGGTGAATGGCTCCCTGTCAACCACTTCATTTGGCAACGCTACCGGATAAGCTTCAGCGTACTGTGGTGTGCAGCGTGTTGCGATACGGCTCCTCCATTCATAAATACTTTATGGCGTATACATGGCGCAGACGCAAAAAGTGATCAATGGGTATTATTAGTAGATTTAGTCATTTTTCTTTAGTCAGTAAGTGTACATAGATAATCATATTAGTTTATTTTAGTTTATTTAGGTTCATTTCATTGTATTTTCTGCCTTGACGCTCCCCGCTCGATCAATATACAGAATTGTCTTTTTTGTTTGTGATTATTTGTTTATTAAAAATTCACTCATGCGCGTCTTGTGATTTGGATCTGATCCATGAGCCTACTAGTGGGACTCCGCGTCTTTGACCAGTATAACACTAGATTAACGCGGCTTGTCCGTCATGTATCATAGAACAATTTCTAAATCAAGCTCTAGAGAAGATCTTCCAGCCTAGAACGGTTGAGGCTATTAAAGGGGATAGGAGGAAACCTGCTTACAAGCAATTGGTGGAGCAAGTGATCACAGAAATGAAGATACACGAAACGAGGATGATGATGGCAACAACCCGATCCTAGTCCATCTAGCCAGGCTGCAGACTTTAAAAGGACATGACTACCGACCAATCGAGCTCCAAGACATTGTAGACCACCTGACTACATTATCTCGCTATCTACCTGCGTAAAATACATCCACCACAACAAGCCTCTAAAAAGAAGAACCAAGCCAAGACTTGAAGCCAACGACGTGAACAGCAGCAACCAACGCGCAGACAGCAGCGCCGACATGACTATGCTATGACTCAGTTTCAATGGCGCCAGAACAGGAAGAGATGTATCACGAACATCCACGACGGATTAGGAAGAATGACGCAGCCCCCTTAAGAGGTTATGGAACCCTTCTGGAAACAAGTAATGAAGGGAGCGTCTGATAAATCTCCGGTGGCAGAAGATCCCACCACAATACACCATGGCATATGGGCGCCAAGAAGAGGTCAGGAAAGCGATGCTACCGAAAGGTACCGCTAAGGGCCCTGACGGATTATCCTCACGCCAACTAAGAGCGATGCCCACAGGGATTCTCATGAGGATATTCAACATCATCCTGTTCCGCACACGACTACTGAAGAATCTGCGTGCTGCAAGAACAGTATTCCTGCCTAATGTTAGGGATGCTACAGAACCAAGTGACTTCAGACCAATCACCATCCCATCAGGCATGACCAGATGCCTCCACAAGATACTGGCTGCAAGGGCATCAGCATCTGTCGAAATAGATGACAGACAAAGGGCGTTTAGACCCACTGATGGATATAGAGACAACACCTTTCTACTGGAGCTGATTCTGAAGTATCACCATAAGTGGTTCAGGAACATCTATATGGCCTCACACGACGTACAAAAAGCCTTCAACTCTGTCTCGCACATCGGACTTACGAACGTCATGCGCACCGTTGGATGTCCGAAGGAGTTCGTTAAATACGTCATTAACACCTACAAGGACGGAACAACGGTCCTGGAAGGGAACGGGTGGAGGTCAGCACCTATCCTCCGCGGAAATGGAGTCAAGCAGGGTGACCACCTCTCGTGAATAATCTTCGACATGGTCATCAGCCAACTACTGAAGAAATTGTCACCAGAGATTGGATGTAGAGTGGGGGGCGAATATGTAAACGCCGCAGCATTCGCCGATGACTTCTTCCTCTTCGCAGCGACTCCAAGAGGATTACAGAGGCTCGTCGACACCGCTACGGAGTTTCCGAAGAATTGTAGACTCACCATCAACGCCGGAAAGTCCCTGACCATTGGAATCAGGGCTAACGCTAAATTCAAGTAGACCGCCGTAGACACCCAGACTAAGTTCAACTGCGAAGGGAGAATTCTGAGGACGCTGGGCCGTGGTGAAGAGATCAAGTACCTCAGGATCAAATTTACACCTGAAGGAAGATAGCGCTTCAAACCACATGAGATCATCTGCTCAGGTCTCGAAGAATTAACACGTTGAGTGCGGCGCTGATTTGGCTATACTTTCCGCTCAGGCGGCAGCGAGAGGTAATTGATGCCGGTACGAATGTTTCGTACATGGCCAACTGTTTTCCGCGATTGGTTGACTTTGGTCGGCTTGATTTTCCACGTCGTAGTGGATGGCTTGTATGACGTATAACACCACACCACAGTATAAGAAAGCACAGTAGGTTCACTCCGTGTCGGCACCTTTAATCTCATAACTAAAACATCGCCATGTTGCTGGTTGTGCGATTCGGTCATGCGCGAGTGATAAATATTAGGCCACTTTTGGGCAGAGTGAACCTACTGCGCTTTCTTATGCTGTGTCCACAATCTAAGAATACTACACTCTATCGGAATTCGAATCCTAGAATCCGCGCCGCCCAAACGAAAAGTCTACTGTCAGTCCCTAGGGACTGACGCCGCCTAAACGGAAAGTTCATTGTCAGTCTCCAGGGACTGACGTAGCACTCAACGTGTTAATGAAAGCGCCACTCAAGCCGCAACAGCGATTGTTCGCACTGAGGTTCGGATTTATCCCACGAGTGTACTGCCACTCTGCACTGGGCGACGTTACCATCAGCGCGCTTAGGAAAGTCGACGTACAAGTGCGACAGGCGGTACGGAAATGGTTAAACCTCCCGCATGACGTACCCACAGCCTACTGTCACGCGGAAGTAAAAGACGGTGGCTTAGGGATTCCTTCCCTAAGATGGACGGCGCCCTTACATCGAATGGGCAGACTTAAATCGCTACGGGGACGTCATGACCAACTTCGCGACGAAGAGATGGACCGTTATCTGGACGAAGAAATAGACAAGTGCGAGGGACGCCTTAACCACTTGCGCTGGAAAGACGTGCCACGCACGTCGTAATGCTTTTGTCACAGAATCGCCCACGACGTGGTATGTACGTCGTCATGCAATTGTTACAAAAACAGAAACGACGTGCGTAGCACATCAGGTGGGATTGTTGTCAGAGTACAGTTCATCAGTGCACTGCATAGCGTACATCAATATTTAACCCATATTCTAAAATGGAAAGCAAAAGTGAAGTTAACGACATTATTTCGACAAATGGAAAAAGAAAACACGATGGTAGTGATAGTCATAGTGATAGTGACTTCGATGAAATAGTTTTTCCACTCCGAAACCAGCGAAGAATTTTATCTGATGACGAGGAAGAATACATGAATGAAGATTGTGAAATTGATCTTATTCCTAATGAATGGGTATGGAAAGATACCGAAAATATAACTAAAATTTGGAAATATTCACGCACTTCGAAAATAAATATACCTTTTGGGCAAAGTGTCACAGTTTTACAAATGATAAATGAAATACTAACGGAAGACTTTTGGCAAATTATCGTAACTGAAACGAATCGTTACGCGAGCCAGATACTCCGAAATGAAACTCACAAATTAAAAAAATATGAAGATAATTGGAGAGATACAAATCTTGACGAAATAAAAGCATATTTTGCTTTATGCATTCTGATGTCGCAAGTGAAGAAAAACAGTCTTCAATCTTATTGGTCGAAAAGAAGTGTAATCGAAACTCCGATATTTCGAAAAATAATGCCATTTTGGAGATTTTCCCAGTTATCGCGCTTTTTACACTTTAGTAACAACGATGTTGAAGACCACAATAATGATCGTTTATGGAAATTGAGAAGCATAATCGATTATTTCAATGACAAATTTAAAACTATTTACACTTCCGAGGAAGATCTATCATTAGACGAATCACTAATGAAATATACAGGCCGTATGGCACATAAACAGCATAACCCATCGAAAAGGGCTCGCTTTGGAGTAAAATTTTATAAACTGTGCGAATCACAATCTGGATACTGCATTCAATTCAAGATATACACAGGTCAGGATATAAATAAAAATGCTGACACTAGTGCATCGGAAAGTGTTACAATGTTTATGTGCACAACAATATCTGGTTACGGTCACACTCTGTTTCTCGACAATTGGTATTCATCACCAAGTCTATTTGCAAAGTTACAATCTATAAAAACGAATGCCATAGGAACAGTGAGGTGTAACAGAAAGAATATGCCCAAAGAACTAGCAGCGGAAAAATTGAAACGATCTGATGTGATCTCAAGATCGTCTAATGGTATCTTAGTTGCCAGATGGAAAGACAAAAAAGACATATACGTAATGTCCACAAAGCATTCGAAAGTAGAGATGAAAGAAGTAGAAAAGAAGAGGTGGAAAAATAACAACGACCCTGTAACAAAACCCAACATTGTTTTGGAGTACAATAATGGCATGGGTGGGGTGGATTTACAAGATAGTTATTTATCTTCTTTTGCTCTTATGAGAAAATATGTAAAAAGCTATAAAAAGATATTTTTTTACTTAGCAGATATTGCGCTTTTTAATTCTTATGTTTTATTCTGTAAGAAAATGGATATAGCAAAAAGCAAGAAATTTTCCTTTCCGAAATTTCGATTAGATGTGGCAGAGCAACTATTGCAAGCTGTGTATATTCCCGATTATAAAAAACGCGGAACGATGTCTGTTGGAAACACACCTAATCGTTTAGAGGCAACGCAATGGGGACATTTCCCGAGAAATATTCCACCCACAAATGCCAAAAAGAATCCACAGCGAAGGTGTAGAGTGTGTACCAAACACAAAAGGCGAAGTGAAACTGTATGGGAATGTAAGAAATGCCTTGTACCATTGCATGTTCCAGACTGTTTCGAAAGATATCACACGTTGCACGATTATTAATAAATAAATTTAATATTTATATTTATATAAATTTATAATCAACCGATGCTCCATATTCCCTTCCAAAAACTATAAAAAGTTCTAGGTCAACAATAAGTTAGTTTAGAAAATATAAATCTTTTTCCGATTTCTCTGAGGCATCGAACACTGCGTGACGTCTCCCAGCGAGTTACACTGGACCGTTCTGGTACACGCGTCAGTGTTTTTTTTGCCAGCGCAAGTGGTTAAAGGAAATATTTTTGTTCCCGATAGTGTTCGCTGTTATGCTCATCATCTCAATCATGATGGCCGCATTATTTTAGATCTCATAAACTAAAACATCGCCATGTTGCTGGTTGTGCGATTCGGTCATGCGCGAGTGATAAATATTAGGCCACTTTTGGGCAGAGTGAACCTACTGCGCTTTCTTATGCTGTGTCCACAATCTAAGAATACTACACTCTATCGGAATTCGAATCCTAGAATCCGCGCCGCCCAAACGAAAAGTCTACTGTCAGTCCCTAGGGACTGACGCCGCCTAAACGGAAAGTTCATTGTCAGTCTCCAGGGACTGACGTAGCACTCAACGTGTTAATGAAAGCGCCACTCAAGCCGCAACAGCGATTGTTCGCACTGAGGTTCGGATTTATCCCACGAGTGTACTGCCACTCTGCACTGGGCGACGTTACCATCAGCGCGCTTAGGAAAGTCGACGTACAAGTGCGACAGGCGGTACGGAAATGGTTAAACCTCCCGCATGACGTACCCACAGCCTACTGTCACGCGGAAGTAAAAGACGGTGGCTTAGGGATTCCTTCCCTAAGATGGACGGCGCCCTTACATCGAATGGGCAGACTTAAATCGCTACGGGGACGTCATGACCAACTTCGCGACGAAGAGATGGACCGTTATCTGGACGAAGAAATAGACAAGTGCGAGGGACGCCTTAACCACTTGCGCTGGAAAGACGTGCCACGCACGTCGTAATGCTTTTAAACGAATGCCATAGGAACAGTGAGGTGTAACAGAAAGAATATGCCCAAAGAACTAGCAGCGGAAAAATTGAAACGATCTGATGTGATCTCAAGATCGTCTAATGGTATCTTAGTTGCCAGATGGAAAGACAAAAAAGACATATACGTAATGTCCACAAAGCATTCGAAAGTAGAGATGAAAGAAGTAGAAAAGAAGAGGTGGAAAAATAACAACGACCCTGTAACAAAACCCAACATTGTTTTGGAGTACAATAATGGCATGGGTGGGGTGGATTTACAAGATAGTTATTTATCTTCTTTTGCTCTTATGAGAAAATATGTAAAAAGCTATAAAAAGATATTTTTTTACTTAGCAGATATTGCGCTTTTTAATTCTTATGTTTTATTCTGTAAGAAAATGGATATAGCAAAAAGCAAGAAATTTTCCTTTCCGAAATTTCGATTAGATGTGGCAGAGCAACTATTGCAAGCTGTGTATATTCCCGATTATAAAAAACGCGGAACGATGTCTGTTGGAAACACACCTAATCGTTTAGAGGCAACGCAATGGGGACATTTCCCGAGAAATATTCCACCCACAAATGCCAAAAAGAATCCACAGCGAAGGTGTAGAGTGTGTACCAAACACAAAAGGCGAAGTGAAACTGTATGGGAATGTAAGAAATGCCTTGTACCATTGCATGTTCCAGACTGTTTCGAAAGATATCACACGTTGCACGATTATTAATAAATAAATTTAATATTTATATTTATATAAATTTATAATCAACCGATGCTCCATATTCCCTTCCAAAAACTATAAAAAGTTCTAGGTCAACAATAAGTTAGTTTAGAAAATATAAATCTTTTTCCGATTTCTCTGAGGCATCGAACACTGCGTGACGTCTCCCAGCGAGTTACACTGGACCGTTCTGGTACACGCGTCAGTGTTTTTTTTGCCAGCGCAAGTGGTTAAAGGAAATATTTTTGTTCCCGATAGTGTTCGCTGTTATGCTCATCATCTCAATCATGATGGCCGCATACCGTACCCCAATGCTGCAACTCGACGACGTGAAGAGACGATGGGCTGAACGACCCTACGAGTCTGTCGATGGGAAAGGTCTTCGCAGATCAAGTGCCATGCCACAACAACATCAGTGGATTGCTGATGAAACTCGGATCCTTTGGGGGCGAGATTTCATACAATGCGTGAAGGCGAGGATCGAAGCAATTCCCACCAGATCAAGGAGCACCCAGGGAAGATACACTGACAGACGGTGTAGAGCCAGGTGTGCGGCGCAAGAAACCTTGAACCACATCATTCAGCACTGCCATCGTACCCACGGGATCCGCGTGAAGACATGACGCGGTAGCAGCATATGTAGCACGGAACTTAAACCGACAAGGGTACCAAGCCCAGAGTGAATCATCCTTCCAGAAGAATGAGGGTCTACGGAAACTGGGTATAATAGCCACAATGGGAAGAACTACCCCAGTGATCGATGCTCAGGTAGTTAACGAGCAGACTAACTTGGACGAGAGCACGGCTGGCTGTCGTGACGAGCGCACGTGTTCGGGGGTCGCTCCGCGATAAAGTTCAATTTTGGTGGGAAAAAGTGGTTAAAGTGTGATAAATAATGTTGTGAAGTGAGGGGAGACCGTGGGGGAAGTGAGCGGTGAAGTTTTGTAAAAATCGGTGGTGAAATAATAAATCTATAAATAAAAATCGAAATTTCGGTAATGGCGACCTCCACGCGACGCGAGCATGGGGTGCAAACCCATTATGACTTGCCACGGAGTGGGGAAGGCATCCTTGCCTTTGGTAAAAGAACTGACTTTGACCTCTCGACAGTTACCACAGCACTTCAATTCTGAACAGTTCTTTCTGACAACATATATCTAACACATATTTTTGGAGATTTTGCACAAAATGGCTAACTGGGAAAAAAATAAATATCGAACAGAAGAAGAGCTAAAAAAATTAGCTGAAAGTATTAGTGAATCTGACTGTGAGGTAGAATATGGTGGCGATAACTCTGAAGTCGATGACGATGCAGAGATTTTGGTGGAAATAGTGTCGGAATCGGAAGACAATTTGGAGGATAATTCCGTGGAAGACTCAGACTGGGAACCAGATGCTGATAATGGCAATACATCTTCAGGTACACAATATGTAGCAAAATAAGGAATGAAATGGTTTAGTTGTCCATTTCGTACATCTAAGCGATCTCATAAGAATTACGTAAATGCGAAGCCTGGCTTATCACGTTATGCCACTGCTGCCGACACAATGTTAGAAATTTTCAACCTTTTTATAACTCCTGACATGAAAGACGTCATCTGTCGTCATACAAATGAGGAGGCTGTCAAATTCTATGCGGATTGGAAAGCAAAACATCCTGATGCAGACAATGAGTGGAAATTATTGCAAATCGAGGAATTGGATTGTTTTATAGCAATTCTCATCAAAGCAGGCGCCTTGCGATGTCGACGAGAATCTACACGTGAAATGTGGACAAGGGATGCATCGATCCGACGCAGTTTTTTTACAGCTTCCATGTCTGTAAACAGATATGAATTAATTTCAAAATTCATAAGATTTGATGATAAAGCAACCCGTGCGGAGAGGAAAGCACATGACAAACTTGCAGCAATAAGACAAATTTGGGAGCTATTTGTTGCAAGTTGCATCAAGAATTTTGTACCTTACGAACATTTAACGGTTGATGAACAACTTGTAGCCTTTAGAGGAAAGTGCCCTTTCCGACAATATATGAAGTCAAAGCCAGCAAGATACGGAATTAAGATCTGGGCAGCAGCTGATGTGAAAACAAGCTATATATGTAATTTACAAGTATATACTGGCAAAGGATTGGACAACGTTAGGGAAAAAGACCAGGGACTTCGAGTTGTCAAAGACCTCACCCAACCATATAAAGGCAGTTGGCGAGGTATAACCACGGACAACTTCTTTACCAGTGTTGGTTTGGCAAAATATTTGCTAGAATCTAAATTGACACTGTTAGGAACTGTGCGCAAGAATAAGCCTGACACACCTGCTGAAATTAGCGTAAAATCCAGACCTGAGAAATCTTCAATGTTTGCATTTACTAAAGACATAACTATGGTTTCATATATACCAAAGAAAGGCAAGATGGTTCATTTACTGTCCACTCAACACGATGATGATATTGTAAGCGAAGCAGATGATAATAAGCCTATTATGATATTGGATTACAATAAAACCATGGGAGCAGTTGATAATGCCGATAAACTAGTAAGGGAATATTCTTGCGCCAGAAGAACTAAGCGGTGGCCCTAGGTTATAGGTTATTCATGAACATTATAGATATTGCTGCGCATAATGCGTTTATTTTGTATGATATAAAGCATTCCGATTGGCTAAACGGTCACCAAGGCAGGCGTCGAATGTTTCTTATGCAATTAGGACAGCAGCTCGCACAGAATAATATGGAAAGCCGAGCTAAAATTCCGAATATGCCAAAATATGTGAAAGATGCACTTAGGGATTGTGTAGTTGAAACGGAGCAATCTACACCATCTAGTCACCAACAAGAAACAAACCTAAGAAAGCGTGGAAGATGCTACTTGTGTCCTAGAACAGAGGACAAAAAATCGCGCATTATCTGCAAGTTTTGTAATAAGTTTGTTTGCGAAACGCACAGAAAGGTTGAAGGTTTTGTATGCAATGTGTGCCATAATAAAAATTAAAAATTTTGTTTTCTGTTATGACTTTCCAATTATATGTTTAGATTAAAATACTTGTTTTTACTTCTACAATAAAGATCCTTAGATGTCATTCCTCTGTTTTTTCAATTAAGTATATTTTAACCTGGGGTCCATTAGGGACCCCACTTATGCATTTACGGAATTTTTTGACACCTATGCACTTAAGGGTTAAGCTGGAGGTCAGTGCGTATGCCCGGGAGCCTCCCCTTGGGCCCTGACGTAGCCCTTCGGGCCAAGACCCTTTGAGTAAGGGCATCCACTCTCCACGCATGGAACACACACGCGAGGGAG